ATCGGGCATCGCAGACGCTTACAGTACTTGAGACCCAGAAGTGAGGCAATAACTATAACTCGAACCTCAGCCCTCTCTTGACCTTGAACCTGGCCCTAACTTTAATCATTTACCGTGACTCTTAGCTCCCTGGAATTCGGTACAAAGTCAAAGTTCCCATTTTTGTGTCGCATACGGTGTGGGGCCTCATAAGCAAGCCTATAATGCAGATATTCATGCCTGTGCATTAGGATTATCTACCAAAGGCAATTTGATGACGTAACCAGCATGAGCCAGGGCCCCTTGGTTCCGAATCTTCTAATACCACTGCCATTTTGTCTGTTGGCGGTGAGCTTAGGAACACATCCGTCATTGTTGACTCCTAGGTCGAGAACGGAGACCATATTTAATAGTGACGCCTCTATAGCGTTCCGTGCTTTGACAGTACAGAAGTACTCTTATTGTTGAACACTAAAAGATCTGCACTCGCATGCAACTCTTAATGAAGTTTGGCTCTGTGACCTTACCTGACTGATACCATACGGTTAGCTACAGTGAGTGACCAGTCTCATAAAATGTTAGCCAAAATTCCGGATTGCGTTTCCGATTAGGAAGGATTAATTAGGTAGGGTTGTAATACACATTATCTTGCAGTCAAATCTTACAGTATTTCGGACTCAGCAGGATGTCTGCTTGAAAATGCACCTCTTCTCAATTTCTGACGTAAACCTTAATCATTAAAAAAACGACTACTTGTATAGCATGCATTTTTTCCCATTGATTTTCGATGGTCTTATAAACTCAAGTATATTTTATAAAAAGCACGAATAAAATACGCCTTTTTATCACTCGATTAATACTTAAAAAAAACAGTTTGATTAGGTTTTTAAAAATCTTCCTAATTCCCTAATAATTTGGAACCTGATAAGTCGTTGCATTAGCGCTAAGTGATTACAGTTTGCAGGGTGTATGGGTTCCACGTAAAGAAAACCATATATTATTCTGTGCCTTAAAAAGATACCATGAAATTTTGCTATGGAAGCGGACTATGTTGTACATTTAATGAGGAGCAGTGGTAAACGGCAGGCACGATGCTACATAAATAGACATTGCACAGTCTTAAAAATCTTATAATTGGAAACTTTTTAAAGCCTAATTATACTCCGTCTTCGATTATAATTTATAAAAGATGACGTAATTCTCAGTCAGCAGACTATAAAAGGCATATTTTGTTCGTGGTTTCTATAAAATATATTTGCCTTTGCAAGACCATCAAGAATCAGCGCACAAAAATGCATAGTACATAAGTAGTAGTTTTTTAGTGATTATGGTTTACAGCAAAGATTGAGAAGAAGTGCATTCAAAAGCAGACATCCTGCCGAGTCCGAAAAATTATAAGATTTTGCCGCATAATAATATCTATTAGGACCCCACCTAAGTAATCCTTCCTAGTCGGAAATGCATGTCGGAATTTCGGCTATCATTTCATGCGATCGGTCACTCACTGTAGCTAAAACAATTTGACTAAGTGCGATTACGCTGACTTTACATGTATCACAAGCGTGCGTCTTTCTCACTACTTTAATCCAGCGAATGACTGTGCCTCGGGAGAGTTTGGGTTGCATCGCGTCTCGCGGCGCGTGCTTCAAGCCCTGCTTGCGTCAGCCTTACATCAGCGAGTGGCTAAGAAAGCTTGCTACTGTCATTGTTCGGACGTTGTGGAGCTCCATCGGTTCCACTATGGTGACCATGTATCGCGAATTAACTCGCAGTTCACCGCTCTCCCTATCCTCTTTATCCAGTGATTTGCCGTGTCGCAGCGAGTGTAATCATATCAAACACCGATTCACATGCGCTACCCTGCACGTGTTTCGGTTTCTGCCTGTACTGTCTTCCCTTTCCTAATACAGCGAGTAGCTAAGTTATCTATTACCTAAAATTGTTTTATTTAACCAATCATAGGGCATAAATCAATTGGGGCTGCAGGATCAAACCTCGTCGAACTCTCTTAAGTGTATGGAAAGTCTCAAAAAGCTGTCCTGCTTCCGCCCATCATGTGGTGAATGTAAATTCGCCTGCGATTGGACATATTTCATTTGAGCACTAGTCAACAGGACGGGCAATAAAAAGTGAACTTTGTTCATGAAATTCACTGACCACTTATTTTCTTCCTGACTTCAGGCAGAAAATAATTGCAAATTACGCACTTTTCTTCATAACTGCTCAAAAGAACGCTGCTGACTGTATTTGCCAAAAGCGATATCGCCACTATCGAGGTTTATGGGAAATATTTGCAAAGCTTAGCCATAACTTATTTAAATGAACTACGGGTTATGGTAAGTTAATGACCGCAAATGGACCCAAAAGCCCCATTCTACTCTTCTGGTTAGTCCATAGAATTGACGACCATAGGAATTCTCGCCCAGACTAAAGCGGGGACGCGATGCATGCAAAAGCCAGAATACTCCTACTTCCCTTTTTCGTCATCGATACCCTTCGACTTGAAACTTCCTTCTGAACCTTGATCCCGTGATAAAGAAGAACCTGGTTTCTCAGAATATTTTTTAAACTTCCTGGAAGGTGGAAACTCAGGAATTTTCTAGAAAATACCTTTTTCTCCTCCTCCCCTGCTGAAATCAGTGGGCCCAGTCTCAATGTTGCGGTCACTGGGACACCGACGGTAACAAGGGCGCTAAAACAAAAAAATCCATTTTCACTGCGTAGTCATGTACGCGGTGGGACTGTAGGTTAACAGCCTACTACAGTTAAGAAGTTCCGAACCTAGCTTTCGACCAATCAGAGTACAGTTGACTGTGAATCGACTGAATCGATATATTTGCCATTGAGATTGGCCATTCAGAGGAATTCACGACAGATAGATGAATCGCCAGGGTTGGGAAGGCCCCCTTTGGAAAAATGACTTTAATGTTGACAACGAGGAGTTCTCCTGGAGCTACGGTTTGTTCGACAACGGGTTCCCCGTTGAGTCGGCTGATATTCCAAAGGAACCGTGGCGAGCTGACACGCTGAAATAAGCCACTCGGATTAGATAAAGAAGTCATAATAATTGCTACATCTGCCTATACCTCACCATGACTGTACAGTTGCTGAGCACACCTCTTAGCCAGGTAGCTATGCGCGCGATCTTCCGTTTACATGAATAATTAATGCGGAAAACTATAAGCGATTTGTAACTTACGTGGAGATAGGTTCACGAGGACAAACCCAAATGGGACAGAAATCAACAGGAACAGTAGCCGCGCTAACTCATGAAGTGTTAAATATAAATTTCGAAACATGAATTCGACTAAAACATTACTAAAGTAAGGGTGCAATAGTAATGATCATACAGCAGAACCCAAAGATATTTCCGTCGCTACAGGACGCCCGATATTCAACGAATTCCTTTTGAGCCGCCTGCAAAAACTTGACACTAAAAATGAGTGCTTAAGTAATGTGAGTCTTTCTTTTTGACCTTTGAAACCTTTATAAATCCAAATATGTTTTGAAGAAGACATGCACAGAAGTATATCCTCTTTTACCCATTTGCTAGCAACTTATGCCTTTTTTAAATCTTATACTTTAAGGAAAAGTACAGTTCTGTTTTAAAAGACTTTTTCAGTTCCTGAATAATTTTGGACTCAAATTGACGTCACTACGTACCGAATTATTTCCGTAGATGAATATTCATACATTTATATGGGCTGTTAAGGAAGTTCCACGTGGGTTTTCTAAAAGCTTGTATACTTTGCAAACGACATAAGAAAGTACAGAGGTAATATGTCAAATGGGTCAAAATCTCGCGGACTTCAAGTATCTCATATTTAAAATCTCATTAAGACAGGAGGATACTCTATTGCAAGTGTGAAATTCAGTGACGGCGTTTGCAGCCAAACATATAAGGAAACGAGGATTAAAGAAGGAGACACGATTGCCGGGACAAGAGCTTTATAAGTTTGACGTTTCGGATTCTTACTCGAATCCATCATCAGAGACAAACAAGCAGAAACGGGTGGTTGCTGCAAAAGGGGCTGCGGTATTTATAGGATGCCGTAGCCATGCTACGGCGATCCCGGCGATCGTGTCTCTTTCTTCAGGACTACTTCCTGGGACTCGTCTCTTCGCTTCTATTGGCAACGTATTTTGGCGCGATGCACTCCGATCGGCCCGGCGATGGGAAACCTTCGCCCTTCTGGAGGCCTCCACGTATTCGCAGATCCGGTTTATGCACAGGTGTCTCGACAATAATGTGTTGCCGAAATGTGTTTCATACAAGCCACCGGTTAACACGGATTTGGCGAGACGAGCAGTATTTCAGCACGGTAGAAGGATGATCCGAGTGCTCCTCAAAGATTGCCACGCGAGACTTCGTAAGTACCGTCAAAGGATTGACCAAGAAAAGACCAGATGCTGTGAGTTCATGGGTGACATCGGTACGAATCTGCTACTGCGGAGAATAGCTGAACAAGTCCGTGAACAGAGCATGATATGCGACGCAGCACTGGAGAACAAATTTCGAAAGCAACCCAATCCAACGTCGCCCAGAAACGACAAACGGGTGCACAACCTGTCATCAAAGGAGCTGACGAAGGATCAGATGCAGGTTTTACGGCACGAAGCTTCATTTAACACGGCTGACGTCAAACCTGTTAACATGATTGCAGCAGTGGAATCAATCCTTTGTCAGACGGAGGCAACGGAGGAGACTAAGAACCTCATCCGACATCAAGTGTCGTCTCTCCTGATGGCCCACAGGCCGCGGGAAGAACATTCCAAGGTCGAACGTAATGCGCTTAGAGAACGCAAGGCCGACAAAGGCCTGGTCATCGTGCCAGCGGACAAAGGACGCGCCACAGCTGTACTGGACGGGACAGACTACCTTCAAAAAGCCAAAGGCTTACTGAAGAACCGACAGTTCTGTCCCATGTGCAACGAACCCTTTAACGGCGCTGACACGCAAAATTATTGCCCTGTTGTTGGCCCTGGAGAACTCAGGTGCAATAACACCGACCGACAGACGCATGGCGAGACCCCAAGATACGGCTTTGGCCCGATTCTATGGCCTCCCTAAGGTGCACAAAGACGGCGCTCCTCTCCGACCCATCGTGTCGCTCAAAGGGACTCCAAAGCACGGACTGGCGAAGTGGCTGTTCCGGCGTCTCAAGTTCCTGACCGCTGAGTCAGACACCACGGTCTCTTCGTCAGCACAATTCCTGGAGAAACTCAAAGGGGTAAGCATCCATCCAAATGAGGTCATGGTATCTTTTGATGTTACATCCCTTTTTACTTCTATTCCCCAGGACCTGGCGATCGAGACAATCGAGCTGCTACTACAAAGCAAATACGATGAAATGGAGAATCGTCTTGGACACGCCCAAATTCTTCAGCTCCTGAAGCTCTGTCTAAGGACGTACTTCACGTTCAACGGGACAATCTACGAACAGTTGAAGGGCACACCAATGGGTTCGCCGATTTCGGGAACCATCGCCGAGGCGGTCCTGCAACGGTTAGAATCGCTGGTCTTCCAACACCACAGACCGAAGTTCTGGGCCCGGTATGTGGATGACACCTTCGTCGTTATCGAACGGGATCAGGTGTTGACATTCCAAGAACATCTCAACGCTGTCTACCCGGACATTCAATTTACGATGGAGGAGGAAGAGAACAACCAGCTGGCCTTCCTGGATGTCCTCGTATGCCGCAAAGATTGTGGTAAACTAAAGACCAAAGTGTTCAGGAAAGCGAAAAATGCGATGCAAGTACTGAACTTCAACAGTAACCACCCAATCAGCCACAAACGCAGTTGTGTAAGGACGCTCTATCGGCGTGTCGAAACGCACTGCCACGGCTAGAAACGTCTGGAGTAATTTATCGGATCTGGTGCAGAAGCGGACAAAGCAACTACGTCGGAGAAACCGGAAGACAGCTCCGAACGAGAATGGCCGAACACGCGGCAGCGGTGCGCAGAAATGACGCCAGCTATCAAGTTACGGCTCATTCTACGAGATCCGGCCACACATTCAAATTTGATGAGGCCGAAATTCTCGCAAGAGGTGACAACCGCGTGAGCCGGGAGCCACTGGAATTATGGTTTACTGGCCCCCAGTCCATCAACAAGTGCAACGATCTTCCCCTTATCTGCTTATGTCACTGATGATGGATTCGAGCAGGAATTTCGAAACGTCTGACTAATAAATCCCTTGTCCCGGCGATCGTGTCTTCTTCTTCAACATCTTCCCACTCCATACTGCGTGCCAAAACTTCGCCAAGGCGGAGTAACAAGCCATGCGGGGAGTGCAGAGGTGAACACTTTTCCCAACACCGGGGTCGGTGAGTCAGATGGTCGAGCAATCATCACGCCAACATCCAACGCACGTGATGAAATTGCAGCAATTATCGACTCGAATGTCGGCCATCGAGCAGTGATCCCACCAAGTGCGACGATCCCAAATAAAGGGGGAGCCGTGAATGTTCATAGGTATGCGGTAGCATGGCTATGGCATCCTTTTAATACCGCAGCCCCTTGTGCAGCAACCACCCGTTTCTGCTTTTTTGTCTCTGATGATGGATTCGAGTAGGAATTCGAAACGTCGGGCTTATAATGCTGTTGTCCCGGCGGTCGGGTCTCTTTCGGCAAGACTACTTCCTGGGACTCGTCTCTTTGCTTATATTGGAACGAGGATTTTTGCGAATTTTTTAACGAAATATATTTGAATATACAAGGGAATCAAAAATCAAAGAGTATATTCATCTACTAGAGTAATCATTTTTACAGAGTGTACGTTTTGCTTGCGGCCCGAAAGAGGCTATTTGAAAAGCCTGTTCGCTGGCCCGAATTAAATATCTTGGAGTTATTTCGACAGATAATTAATATGATGACCCTACTTAAGTAATCCTATCGGGTTGAAAAAGCACTTGCGAATTTTAATTCAAGAATATTCAGTAGTTTTTGTGGACTTTAGAAATTGTTAGAATCAGAAGTGAAAAATGCTGCTTCCTCGGTCTGATTCGAAGCCACCGCAAGCATTTAGCCTGCTGTCGTAGATTCGTATTCCATCAGAGTCAGGTGGTTTCTTACAATTGTGTTTGATTAAACAGATTATTTTTCTCTTCCGTCAAGTCATTTTTTTGTTTTCGTCCTTTCGGCCTCTGCCCGGTTAGATCAAACACTTGTTAGCATAACGTATGGGTGTCTGGAGGACTAGCGAGACCTAGATTTTCCAGTCCCCTCTCATCTGATGACCTTTGACAGTTTATGATTTTTATTGTCGAATGTAGAGCTGCTTTCGTCCAAAAAAATCTCGGCATTTTTCACTCCTTCAGAATGCTGCTAGATTTCGTTTTTAAAAGAGACACTGTCTTATATCAGTTATATCGACACGTTTCCCCGGATATGTGGTTTAAGCATTATCCGCGCCTAACCTGGGGATTTGACTAGGGATTGGGGGCTCACCAGCTACATGCATTGGAAGTATTGTGTTAAAATTAAGTATTAGCTGCGAACTCACTAGAGGAGGGAATGCCTTCGTTGGTAGACTGGCATTGACAAATTTCGTATGTTCACCAATCGCAGCTGCGCAGGATATTCCAACTTCGCCACTCTGATTGAGCAGCGGCATTAAAAAGATCTCAGCCTGGAGGACATGGTCACCACTTGATTCCTCGTACCCTGATCCTGTAGGAACAGTCAAAAAAGTTGTTTTGTGCTTATTGTGTTCATTATAATTGGAATAATAGAATACATAGTGGCACAAGTTTATAGCATCATCTTCATTTCAAGAAAACGAGCCAAATGACACTTTTTTTCCACGCAAAGTAGAGCTTAGCAGGCAACAAAGAAGCCCGACAATCATAAGTTTAATTGAACCCGAAATTTTCGTTTAACTAAAAAGCTTGTGGTAGGAATGGAAATTCGAACCAAAAAATTAAAAGAAATCACCAAAAATATCACCTAATATTAAAACAGTTCAGTATTTGGTGGCCGGTTTTTGAGTGATCTTTAACGCCCGCATCTCCTACTCGGTACTAATGGTAATAGAACGGCGCGTCTTTGACTATTTTCTGCCCTCATGTTTTCCGAAAAATGTGAAAGTGTTCCGATTTGCATTATTAACTCGTTTTAGCTGACGATTTTTAGTACTTTTGTACTTTAGCACTTCCGTTGATGGTTTAAGGATTCGCGTGATCAGCCCAAAAGGCCGACTCTAAGGTTATCCTCAACACTGATCTAGAATCCGTTTACCGTTTATGCCCTTCATCTGAGTCGATGTGGCCTCTGAAAGGTTATGTGGAGGTATGGCGTACAGAGAAGATAAACGCACGATCACCGAAACAGTAGGAGTATTAGCCTGATCATTCAGACTTACGCAATAGCCAATCTCCGGAGACTAGGAAAGTGTTATAACAAATGAACAGTTTCGCAAATACTCCCATGTTACGTTTGAAAAGTCAAGTTGGCAAACACGTGTTTTCGGTAATTTTTCTTCAGGCCAATGCAGTTAGATGAAGGAATGAAAATTTACAAAATTAACAGTGTTTATAGGTGTCTCAAGGGCTATTAAATCATTATCACTCATCTTTCCCACGCCGCCCACATGAGGAAGTCGGCGGGTTTTGGTCCTTAGAGCTAGGAGAGGGGGGTGAGAGAGTCTTTGAGTGATGTCCTTGGATTGGGTACACGGAGTACCCATTAATGTACTTCGGGATTTGAGACGGCATGCCGTCATCAATTGAGGTTGGCCTTGGCCACGTCAGAGAGAGCGCTTGTGTCAGGGTTTTCTGACAGCATAACACCGGATTCGCTAGCCGTATATCCACTGCCTCGGCTGTTTTTAGTATCCGTTTACGTAGACCATTAGAGAAGATTTTTGGTGTCCGACAGACAATCTGAAATGCTTCCTTGGCATCAGCTCGGTAATCCGTATCGATTAAATGTGCGAGAATAGAACTCAAAATCGATCGGGTCTGACCTGTGGACATATGTTCACGCATCTTCATTACCAGGCATCTCGGTGACTACCGTAGGAGGCCATATCAGTTTGCATCTACTCATTCACTTGCTCCTGTGGAGCGGCGTACATCGGCCGTACAACGAAGCGCTTGGTAGAGAGGGTGCGTAAATATATGCCCGCCTGGCTAGACAGAGGTGAGACCCGGTCGATTTCGAGTTCTATTCTCGCACATTTAATCGATACGGATCACCGAGTCGATGAAAAGGAAGCATTTCAGGTTGTCTATCGGACACCCACAAACTTCCCTAAAGGCCTACGCCACGGATGCTAGCAACGGCCGAGGCAGTGGCTATACGGTTAGCGAATCCGGTGTTATGCTGTCAGAAAACCCTGACACAAGCGCCCTCTCTGACGTGGCCAACGTCAACACTGAGCAGATGTTACCGTTGCGTTTCTGAAGACAGACTCCTTTATGAGTCCAGAGGCCCAGAAGGAGTGTTCCTTTTCTTAGCAACAAGAGCCCGGAACTTTCGCTTCTAGTCGTCGGAAGTTATCCACTGGATGTATTAGGTCCTCAGGATAAGGAACGATAAGAAGAACTCCTTTTCTCATCCCTCGTCCCTACAAGGATATGAAGTCTACGGCTACCTGACCTGGCTGACTGCATTCTTACCGCGACTTTCATTTCAGAGATTCAAGTGTTCTCACACAACTGCTTTTCAAGAAGTTTGAAATACAGTAAGTATGCTGTCTCATGAAATTTTGACCGAAATTCTGCAATGTTAACGGCAACAAGAGCTGAGAGTGCTGAGTCATGAGGCCAATTTTATTACGGCGGATGCTAAGCCGGCAGAATTTGTCGCTGCACTTGAAACCCTGCTAGTAAGAACCGACTAGGCTAAACCCACTCTGTGCCGGAAGGTCACCTACCCCACTACTGAAGAACAGGCCCATCAGTAATATGTCGCCGCAGAGATAGAGGCAATGAAGTAATTATAAATGGACTTGGGCATAATAGTGCTGCAAGCCGACAAAGGAGGAGCAACCGTCGTGAGGATCTACGTCGAGTACTACGGAAAGGCATAGGTCCTCGTCGACGGCCAACAGTCCTACAAATCCACGTCTTCCTCGCGAGCCATATCTATGATTGGCCAACTAATCGGACTCCTGAACCGACTCAAACGCAACAGTGCAATATCGCTAGACGAAACCAACGGACACGGCACTGGCCCGGTTTTATGGATTACCCAAAATCCACAAACCCGATATTCCCCTTCGACCGATCGTTGCCTTGAAGGGCAGTCCCAGCTACAACCTATTCAAATGGATGGCCCGAGAAATTAATTTTCCACGAGAAAACTCGAGGACCTCCATCAATTCGGCCTCCCAATCTTTGACTGACATCTGTGGAAAAGTTCTCCGACCTGATCAGATTATGGTGTCCTTTGACGTCGTTTCGTTATTCACATCCATCCCACCGGAGCTGGCATGCGACGTTCTGCGCAAAAGACTCGAAAAAACTGCAACGAAACGAACAGACCTCTAAAAATTGATCATTTACTGCAACTCTTTGCTTTCTGCCAACAAACTGTTTTCATCTTCAGTGGCAGTACATAGGAGCAGATCAAAGGAACCCCGATGGGTTCACCAATATCCAGCATAAGCCCACTTGTAGTATTGGGGATATTTATTTCAGTGCTCGACCTCGAGTGAGTTTATCGTTAACGTTATATGAACAAGCTCACGTCAAGGCTTTTTCTAAAGCTTTGAAAGAGACCTCCCAGCAAACTAGCAGGCAGTGAAGTCGAAAGCCTGTTAATCCTTCATCAAAAAAACGATGAATTAATCCTTACCGAAAACATCTAGCATGGTATTTCAGCCTTTAAAGTGTAACATGGTGAACATATCATTAACCGATGTAACGACCCGGTTGGACTTATAAATATTAGGTATGTCGGGTACACGACAGCTGTTTCACTTAAAATGATTAGTAATGCCCTGCTATGCGCGCCACCTAAAGCAATACCATCTAAATCACATGTACTTGGGGCGTGAGTACGGCTACAAAACACAAGGGCAATTAGCAAATTAGACAGTTAACAAGTGGCTTGAAACGTTGGCAGACAATATTTCAATTCTTTTTTGTGAAATGCAGAAAAGAGTTCGGACATCCCTTTAAAACCAGGCTCTGATAGAGTGAATATTGTGATGCCGGTGGTTGGGAAAAAAATTGAGGTTTTAAGACTTTAATACGGTGTGTCAAGAAACTGTTCACTGACAGACAAAACGCGCACATACGGTTGGATTGAAGAATATCGAAATGCAGTCCGACTTCGGGGAATAAACCGTAGAAGAAGGGGTCAGTACGGGAAATAGCTCTTGCTGGAATATTAGTCCGTTTGTGGACGATAACCACCTCACCGTGCGTGGCCTCAGCTGAGCATGTTGCGGTGTAATTTGCAGACAACCCAACCAAAACTGGTAGACGGAGGAGTAAACGAGAGACTTTCAGTGATTCAAGGATGAGGGGCGACAAAAGTGTTGGTTCAAATGCGGACGAAGAACTCTGTAAATGCAATTAAACGCTGAGTGACTGAAAAATCCACGAAATAATTTGAAGTGTGCCAAGGGAAAAAATCAAAATTTATGAAGTCATGCCTGCTCATGTAGCATTTGACTATGTACACACTTAAGAATAATATTCTACTCCATGTGAAGTGAGGATGGAATTGTTTCTCTCTGGCAACGAAGCACATGAAGTGATTAAACTATCCCATGAAATTTTAACAAAATTTTTAAATCCGTTTTCGATTAGAAAGTTTTCGTTTGGTGAAATCGGGCGACAGAATTCACAATATTTATTTTGCATCCGGAGACTGGATTTAAATGCGTTTCTTCTCAACCACTACGGCATCTTCACAAGGTAAAGAGTGAGCACCCTTTGATCTTTCGAGGTGTTTATGAATGCAAGTTTATTTCATGGCAAAAAAAATCGGGAAAGTATTGTTTCCTGTGCGCATTAGGGAGAAACATACAAAATCTTAAAATTTTACACGCCAGAGGAACCTAGTTAGGAGGTTAATCCTCGGGACGCGGCGTACTTTTGAGAAAGACCTACTAAATCGAGCCGCAGAAAATCCGAAGTTGTTCTATGGTTACATAAGAAGAAGCACACGAAACAGAGACCCAATCCCGTTATTGAAAACTAGTGACGACCTAGAACTCAGTGAAGACGGAAAAAAGGCAGAGCACCTTTCACAGTTCTTTAAGTCCATCTTTACGAAGGAAAGCGCATTTCTCCCTCCCGACTGCGACATAGTGGACGGGCCAACGATTGAGCACGTCTCTTTCGCCGAAGCTATTGTTTGCAAAGAACTGTTGAAGTTGAATGAGTCTAAATCATCTGGGCCGGACGACATACCGCCCAAATTGTTGAAGGAACTTGCTGGAGAACTATCCAAACCGCTGTCCATGCTCTTCGAAGCTTCGTTCGAAGCAGGCTATTTGCCCTCCGATTGGAAATCAGCGCGGATCACGCCAATTTATAAAGGCGGCAGCAAGGTCTTAGCAAACAACTACAGACCAATCAGCCTTACTTCAATTTGCTGCAAAATTATGGAGAAAATAGTAAAGCGAGAAATAATGCACTTCCTAGAAGAGCATAATCTGCTATGCGATGCCCAGCACGGATTTCGTAGAGGCAGATCATGCGTGACGAATCTACTATATTGTTTAGATCGCTGGACCCGGGCAGTCGATGGCAGCAATGCAGTGCACGCAGTCTACGTCGACTTTAAGAAAGCATTCGACAGTGTACCCCATCAGCGTCTCCTGTACAAACTAAACCGAACAGGCCTGAGGGGTAATCTCCTGAGGTGGATACAAAGTTTCTTGATCGGTCGCTCTCNGAAGAAACTCTGTAGCCGTTTGATGTTTCAATTTTCAAATTTTTTTTTTTTTTAATTGTTCGCCTCCTTGTAACAAATAGGGAGTTCAAAGGTTTAACACCTATATTTCCCTCAAATAAACTGAACTGAACTGAACTGAACTGAAGTCACTCTATGCTAACTTGAAAACATCATAAACTTCTGGTTAGATTTTTCATTTGCATTGAACTTGGTTTTATACTTCATAAGGTTCACCGAAAAATACATTTCATTATGTTAGGTGAATGAGACTTTTAAAGCCTAGAACTAGGGTCCCCAAGCATGTGTACAGATTCCCCATTTTAAAAATTTGATTGGAACTTTGGGGGGTGAGAGTCTTGGTAAATACCCGACCCGAAAGTTGCACTTCACTTTCCCGACTAAAAGTTCCCTCGAAAGAGGGATACGTATTTTTTGTATGCTTAATCGCGGCAAATTAACTTTATCGGTCATGGTTCCAAAATGCCTCGGCTGTACGAAACGGTCATTTCACTCGGGACCCACGAGACATCCAGTCTTCAAATGCGGCCCTGTAGTCATGCTTTAAACGCATCGGCCACAGTGGCGGGCAAAACCAAATCAGTGCAGCGGACCTGCCTCCCGTTAGCTTTTCAGGCAAACGAGGCTCCAGCAGTGTTGTGGCACGTGTAGAGGACAGTTTGCCGGCCGCTGTTCTCGGACCCGTCTGCGGTGTTCGTGGCCTGCGTGCGCTGCCAGAAAACTACTGAATTGCAAAAGAGAGAGAAGATGTTGGCGCAATGCGGGACAGACAATGCTTGCAGTGCTCTGCCCCTTTGGTGTATTGGTGGCCATTTCAAAAGAGGGAGTTTGAATTGTACCAAAACTTCTTATGTTCACCTGCTCTGCTGGAGACTTCTCGTCAGCCACCTTGGCCTCAGTTGACTGAAATATTAGCCAAGCTTCAGAAATGTGGCTTTGATCAGAAGGGATTGCTGAATTCGCATTGCAGTATTGATTAGCATGCAGCATAACCCCTCGAAATTCCATTAACATTTGAGTGCCAACGTGAGATTGAGCTTATTCCGGCCGCCTGTAAAGGCGTCCTTAGCAAAAATAATAACGACCTGAACCATGCGCATTTGCATTATCGCTTTTCGTATTATTCCAAGTTCGAATTTATTTTACAGTAAATATGCAAAATAATACTCCCTCTCGTACGCTTTTGGGCAGACGATTATGTCGCTACGTTGCATTGAAGACGCTTTATAAGGATGATGCAATTTTACATAGTATGCGCACTATGTTGTATACTTCATAAGCAGCCTTAACCGACGGACGGACCGCAAAATATTCGTTTCCAAGTATTAAATTTCAGGGTAAAAGTTGCTTCCACTAGATTTAAAGAAGTATGTGTTTGTGGGCATGTTTAAAATGAACTTAAATCTATAAGAGCATCTGCAAATAACGGGAAAATTCTTTTGCGTAAGTAAGCATTTTTTACCGAGTAGCGATTTTCTCTGGCAGCCATCTTGGCGCAGCTGCAAGATTTTGGGTTATGTCGCATAACGATCAGTATTATAATCCTACACAAGCGTTCCGTTTTAATGCAGAACGCATTTAAGCACTTAAATTAACATTTATTGAGGTAGGATAAATACTGTAATAAAAAACACAACATAAAAATGGGACGTAAATAGTATTTAATGTTAAACAATTTTCCCAGTCTAATGGTCCTAGAAATTATGAAATATTCACTAATTTAAGACTATTAGGTACCGTTGTCTTGTGATAAAAGTCAAGATTAGACATGTATATAGTCTGCGCTGAACTTCATGAGAAATTTCACATATCTGGGTAAGGTTCCGCATTGGTAGTATTTTATTTTTGCGTTATAATATAATGTTCTGTTCGTTACAGAAGCACTTCGGAGTCACTTCTCCTCTCCAGAAAATTCCACATTTCCAGCCTTATTTCAAAATTTGTATCTTTTATGGAGCTCTAATCTTCAAGCATAGACCGCCTTAAAGCCAAAAATGCACGTCCGTCACAATAGGTGACCTATCTCATCAAATGGTAGCTGAAACTTTTAAATATATTTTAGATTATAGACGATTACTTGGATGCGGATATAAAAATTGGCTTCCATGCAGTAATATCTCATGAGGTTTCATTCGCGCGGGATGTCGGCTTTTAAACGATCCACTTGGCAGCTACCAGTGAAATCCGAATCGGTAAAATTGACGACTGAACTAGCATGATGTTTTGGCAGTGATTGTTGATGGACTTACTGATTGAAATATATATTTCATGGAAAAAGTGTTCAAAGAAATTTTTCCCGCATTTGTTTTTTTTGGATTTTAAGTAGGGGCATCGTTCGGTTTTTGAAAGGTAACTCCTGAAAAAAAACGAGAAACGCTGGGTGGCTCAGCGATGTGTCCAAAACCTTGCAGCTCAGTCATTCAGCAGCAAAATCCCAGTGAATTACATACTTGTGCTTTAAGCTAGTGCATGTGTCATAATTAACGTGGAGCATTAAAAACATTAATTAGTCAGCAACCCAGAAAGTCCTTGTCCCAGACGTCTTTATCGGACTGAAACAACACATATTAAAGTGCTAAAATTCAAGCAGTTTGTGGAACACTATTAAGATAAGGAAGATAAATGCTGGAGTAATGAGTTAGATTTAGGGTTGGGGACGGGGTTTAGACTGGTGTTAGTACACAAGTCTATGAAGACACCTTAGCATTTAACACAAGCCCACCTATGGAACTTGCAAAATTTAAGACAATTTCCGATTTATGAAACCCACGTTGTTCTCAGCGCTTAGTCGAAATGCCTAATATATGACCGTGGTTTAAATCCTTGGTCTAATCTTGAAAGAAACGAAACAAGGCAAATTATGAATTGATAACAACTCAGGGAATTGATTTTCTTCAGTTTTGCGATGACTATTGTGTGTGGGATGCAAACGTTTTCGGGACTATGTGCATTGAGGTTAGCGTTAAGCAAGTAACTCGTTCGACGACGACCAGTGGAACACGGTGCTTATAAAATACATCAGTTAGGGGACTTACCATTAAGGACGGTGAATTTCGTGACTCAGGAAACACGACAGTCAGTCGTTTGGGTGGAGTGTGTTTATCACCAGTGGTTACACTTATGTCCAAAAGGAAAGACGTAATGCTGAAGTCAATGCGACGATGCACGTAGATCCGGAAAATGAGCTCTCGATCTGCTTGAGTTCCGCTGGAGACGATTAGTGGACCATAATCTATCTGAGTCGTCTGCCTATAAAAAAAACGGAATTGCCTCTCTGCCAATACAGTATAATGAACTCACTGCAGTCTTCGTAGTATCGGTTTTGTGGGCACATTCAGTATAGCCAACGAACCAACATGAATTAAATCACAGTCCGCGACTATAATATTGTGATGTAAGTCGGGACCGCTGACGGTCAGTTGCAGGTCTCCAAGGGTGACATTCTCGCAAAAGATCACTTTAACGTCGCAGACGCTTTCAAAGTCTCGCGTAAACGCTGCCGACACTTGTTCAAAGATGACATTTTCGATGGTTCCACAGTGTGGCGACTGAAAATGGAAACAGTTCGCAAATCAAAACAAAGAGCCACATATATTTCCGACTATAAGAGATTTATCATATGTTTCCCTCTGCAGTAAATGAATTTAAGCAGATTAGAGTATAAGGCGTGTGACAGCACTCTGAATGCGGGATAATGTTGATTACAAAATGACGCTGGTTTCTCTTTACGGTGTTATGAACATTATATGCCTAGTTTGGTAATAACGTCTTGGCCAGACTCAAAAGCGTTATTGTTTGGAAATCTGGGTCCTGTTTATTAAATATTTTTAAATCATACAGGACTAAATAAGGGGTGTGCTGCCGATACTTCGGGCACCGCTGATATATGGTCAGATAAACTCTATGAAACAGGCATGTTATTAAGTGGTTAGTTCATTAAAACATTACGATGCAAATTAAGTATTATGTATTAATCAATCGGCCTTATTTTCAGACTCCAATAACTGACAGAACAGTGGACATTGGCGGTTATGATGCATTCTTCTTTCTCCCATGCATCAGTAACGCGTCCAAGTTTGTTAACTGACCGGTTATTAAACCCAGCGCATTTGCTAACGTGGGACGAATTCCTTTTTTGAAGTGCATCGCACAAAGATTGGATCACACAAACCAGAATTGCCATGGAGATCACATCATAAAGAGTTGGTTGTGGGTTTGCCTTAACTCCAAATGAATATCAAGGGAGGATATTTGTCGATGATTTTAGGAAAATTGGAAGTGTCCGAGGGTGGTGGTACTTTCAAGAGGGTTGAATTTGCTTTAATGAGAGGTGCACTATGTTAACTCGCCCTCTTCCCACTCTCTCTTGCACCAACCGGTTTGTACCAGCCTGTCGGCTGACTACCGACGGGGTTTTACGCATGGGCAGACGCGACCTTTAGGTCTTAATCTACGCGTGCCACGCACGTGCGCGGGAATGGTTACGATCCCCCCCGGGCGCGTACCCACAACTTCCGTATAATTTGACGATAGCCCAAGACTTTGAAGACTGCTTTGCAGATCGTAGGCAGCTACTTGCCAGACATCGAACTCCAACATTAGCTGGATTCATCCGCAGCGGAAGATGTAAGACTCATGCAGTACTGAGGGGAGATCGTTTTTCGTCGAGATTTTTGTGAGTGCTTTCCACTTACTTAGTTTAAAAACACTCGATTTCCTGGAAATCGAAATGCCTTTACTTTAACAAGCAACGGCGAATATTTGGATACTGAATTACGACGGTGGTCGCCAAAGTAAGTCAGTATGAGAACTACTCCCCGCAATCTATTACAAACGCCATCCAATCAAACCTGCAATATTTACGGGCATTTCGAAATGAAAGGTAGCTCTAGATGATCAGACCGCAAACGACAAAAACACAATTTGTTACGACTTTTGAGCTGCTTGTCGGCAATATCCACTGACACGGGACCACAGCCAGTTGTAGAACAATGCGTCAGATGTGGTATCGCGTGAGATGTCAGTCTCAAGGCTGGAACGTGCCTCTGATTACAAATAATTACTTAGATAGGGTTGTAATACTAATTTGCATGCAAATTTATTCCACGATTTTCGATAAAATCAGGATGTCGGTTTTTAACAGCTCTTTCTTGGTTGCCTATAAAAAAATATGCCGATGAGTCCACTTATTCGGGCGTCTGCCTAGTTTCTAAGACCTACGAATGATTACAGCCTTGGAGAACTCGGCAGCTGCGTTTTTCATATGTATTGCTTATTTTTAGTATAGGTGGAACAGTCGGAGAAACTCAACCACGGCTTTTTATTTGACCAACGTTCAGTTATTAAGTATTTTTCTCAGGTTTGAGTAATGAATCTTAATTAAAACAAGTTACATGCCTTGGACTGCCAGAGCTCACTGACTGGATGGTGCTTAATCCCATCTAGTAGTTTTAAACTTGCGAACAGTACAGCATAAATCCTTTCATGTAATTAACTTAAAGATACTGGCCAGCAATAACTTATGAAGCCAACAAGCATACCCAGAATTGTTTACTTACAATTATTCTTGCATCGCAATGCTTATTCGATTTTTGAAGAAAGCAAAACAAGCGGGGATAAGTCAATTGCAGGGTCTCATTACGAGGTAGGGTAATCTTCAATTTTAAGTATGTTCACTTTACTTACACTACGCGAGTCCATCATCGTTACGTTCAGCGGCATCCGTATT